TGGTTTCAATTTATTTTTCTGTCAATTAATTTCACTTGCTATTCTTCAAATGAATCAAAATATCTCATTTCTATTTCTTCTGCATAAATATTATCCCGGCTGGGCTGCTCGGGCCGGCTCGTGCTTTCCGCCTCCTTTTTTTGCGAAGAAGCCTGTGTGGTCTTGGAGCAAGCCAGGTTCTAAAAAATTTTTTGAAATTGCATCAAAAATCACCGATAACTTAAACTTATTTGAAATGTTTAGTTTTTGGTGGAAAAAAGAACCTGAAACCTGGTTTTTGTCCAAAAAAAAGTCTGCAGGAATTTTGCGCCTATTGAGCCGAACCGGCCGCTTTTCTTTGAGGCCTTACTGAGGGACGGACAAGTCGAGTCGGGCTTATAAAATGGCCCGATAGGGTGACGGGCTGGCCCTCGAACAAGCCCGGTATTATCTCAAGGAAGTGGTGAACAAATTATATTCAAATACGACCATTTCGTTGTAATCTTTCTGTTCCCTCGGAAAGAGCAACAATTTGGGCGTCAAGAAGCACTTGGCGTGCTCATTTACCGCGGCTGAAAATGTGTGTGTGTGGAAAAATGCAAGCCTCGAAACGGCCCATAAAATAACCAACTAACGACTTGAAGGCGGCCGCAGCTGCTTGTTGGTGGTTGCTGTGAAGAAAAAAAAAACATTGCTTGAAACTTGCAAAAAAGTTTAAAAAGAGTAGGTGGGAAATGCAAGATTCAGAAGATTTCGGATGAATTTTTGAATAAATTTTCTCCATAAAAATTTTCTTTTCGCTACTTCTTTGCGCCAGTTCATCGTCTTTTATGCACCATTTTTGCATCTTCTCCCTTTTTCCACCATTTCTTGAGCCTTTAAAAATCTAGAAGAAATGGAAGGCTCGATAAAGGGACTCTTTTTGTTGTCTTTTTGCAGCCTTTTTGCTGCCATTTAATAACCTTTTTCGAGCCTCTCCCTTTCAGTAGCCTTTTTCGAGTCTTCTGTGAAAATTTTTAGTGACCACTATAGGGTTTTGACGTTTTACTGGCCACTATACAGGTCTATGTGCTACTAATTGACCGGAAAAATTTAAGTGACCACTTTAGGGGTCAACGGATCAACATAACTGGTCCAATCTGTTTGTTTTAAAATTATCATAGTTACTGGAAAGAATACTGAATGAAAAACTATTGAAGGGGCCACTAAATAGAGAACCTCTACAGTGACCACTTAATCGGAAAATAGTGGCCACTATAGAGGTGGGTTTAGTGGCCACTTTAGTGTCCTCTCCAAGTAGTCCTTGGCGAGCCTCTATAGTGGCCGCTGAAAATTTCCCCAGTTCCGCCAGCAATCTTTATCCACCAGTTCGACTTTGCTTAAGTGATTTGAAACATTTTTGATTTTTGCTAGATTTTCCGGCTTCAAGTGAACATCTTTTTCGAATCTTCGTTGGATCATTATTTTATCTTGCCATTTTGATTTCGGATCATTTTCTAAGTCCCTATTCTTTAAATTGAAGTTCAGAGCAAGTTTTTTTCTTAGCAACATTCGTCAATTGCTAATGTCATTTCAAAAGTGAATATATTTTCACGCTGAAACATAACTTGATGTGTTTCTTTTTTGAAAAAAATTTCGGTGAACAATTACTCTTATAGACTCAGTTTCTCAGTGCAATCCACTGGCTGATTCTTTTTTTCTCGTTTCCTTCCTACTAGTCTCGAAGCTCTCAGAAAAGAGCACAACGATCGATCAATCATCTCTTCCACACAGGAAGTTCCCGACAAATGCTGTGGTTGGAGGAAAAAAGTTGATAGTCGTGTTAGCGACTCGGAAAAAAATTATTTTAATTTTTGGGATGGAAATTTTTTTAAAAATTTGATCAGGGAACTCCTTGATGGACTGAGGAATTTTTCAAAATTGATCGAAATTTGTTGAAAAATTTCTTTTTTTGGAATTTCGAATCCTCTGAAGTTATGAGACTTTTGTCTCTCGAAAATTAGAATTTCGAGCAGTTTGAGACTTTCAGGATGGGCATCTGGTGCAAGAAAAAAATTTTTCTGAATTTAGGCCCATTTTCAGAAACTCCAAGATAAAAAAAAATGTCTTTGCTTGTAAATTAGTAATACTTTCTTCCTTGAAATCAGCCTTTTTAAAGATTTTGGAAGATTTCGTAAAAATAGATAAAATTATGAACTATCCTTGATAAGCTTGATAGCACTAGGCACAAATTTATTGAAAAAAAAATCTTCGAAAATTTATTATTTTCTCCGAATCTCAAAAAATCAAACCCCACTCCCGATAATCTCCGAGCTTTGCGGAGAAACATAAACGAAGTCGTCCGGTCTTCCAGAAACAAAAAAACAAAGCTTGAGTCAGTGGGATCTGTCATCAACTGCAACAACCGGTGGGCGGAGCCAATCAACGGCGCAGCTGACTCCGCCGAAAAACGGCCATGATTTCGAGGCTTGACCCCTCAGGCCACGCCCCCTTTCCAGACATCTTCCCTCTCTGCGAAACTCGTTTGCTCCCAACGATTTATTGTCTTCTCCAGATTGATTTCAATCACTTTTTTCCTCTTGATCTCCGGGAAAAGGTCTTGTCTTGGTGGCTCGAATCAGTTTTTTTTCTTCTTGTTATGATCTTTTTTTTGTTATTCTACCGTCATATCAAGCGATGACAAACCGAATTTAATGGCGATAGAAAAGAGAGATCAGACAGGTCAGATCATTTTAAGCCGTGAAGAGCTCAAAAACTGCTTCAACCTTATATTTTTTGCCAAAAATTGGTTTCTATTGGAATTTCTTGGCCGCTTGTGGAATGGATCAACGCGTAACGGTTGCGAAGCGGCTGCTTCGAACTAAAATGACTTCTTCTTCTCGCATAGAAAGTTATTATTAAAAAATGAAATGAACCATCAAAACTCGGCCGCGACGCTCCAAACCATTCCACGTGCGACCACGGTTTTTTGAGTCGCGTACTTTCATTTTTTTGGATCAGATAATGTCTAAATTCGAGATGATTCTCAATTTTTCTATAAGAATCCGAAATTTTGTCATGACACCCAATTTTGGAACATTTTGATTACTTTGTATTAATTTTCTGGACGTCTCTCGCTTTTTTTCTCGTTTTTTTCTATTTTTTTTTTAAATTTTATGACGATAGAGAAGAGAGAGCAGACAGGTCAGATCATTTTAGACGGTGAAAAGCTCAAAAATTGGTCAAACTCGCAATTTTTTATGAATATCGAAACTCGAAGGGATTTTTTCGAAACTCTTTTTCATCGGAATTTCGAAGATTCTATGCGAAAATAGCATCTTTTCCGGATAAAATTTTACACAATTGAGACTTCTTTTCAAAATTTTTGATTTCACTGGCGATAGAAAAAAGAGAGCAGACAGGTCAGATCATTTCGAGCCATAAAAAGGCCCTTAAAAAAAGCTGCTTCCTCGGCTCTGATATAAATCTTGAAAGAAATTTTTTTGAAACTCTTTTTTTCGAATTTTCGGAGATTCTCCCAAAAAGGGCATTTTTTCCGGATCAACGTTAACACAATTACGGCTTGCAACAGTTTTAACGTCCTTGCAAACCAAGAAAAAGCTTCCAATCGGCAAAAAAGGTCCAAAACCAAAGGGTTAATCCTTTTTCGTCTCCTTTTTTTCCTCTCCGGTCCTGGACGGATTTTTGGCTTCCAACGAGAAAACGATGCCAAAAACAATTGTATTACGAAGCTCCGGTGGCCCTATTAGGTTTTGCTTTTTTGTCTGACAAATAACCCCAACTCACACTCAATTTCCTTCCTGCCTCATTTATCAATTCCTTTGGCTCGGCGCCTCGTTTTCTTTTCTCGCAACCTCTTTGTTATGCAATAAAAAGTGGTCTGAACAAACCGGATTTGTCTCGAAATGAAAAAATTGTACGTTTTGGTCTCAAAATAAGTTCAGAGTCGTTGGAAAATCTCAAAAATTCTTTTGAATTTTAGACCTGTTCAAATTTTAAAAAATTCGAAAATCTCAAGCATTTTTCCCAAATTCAAGTTATCCGGTTTCCTAAAAAACAAGCTGTTTCATTGAACTTGAATTGTCATACTTCGGAAGTCCATAGTAACGCTGGGAATAGCCCAGCCCGTTGCGGCTCCTTCAACGGACCCAAAACGACTTGCGCACTTGTGCATCGTAAAGCTTACTGAGCTCGATCAGAGACTATGAAATTTTCGACTTTTTAGGGTCTATAACTTTTTTCACAGACTCATGTGCTAGCTTTTGAGACCCGAATCGGAATCAGCATGAAAAACTTCATCTAGACTAGATGAAGTTTTCTTTCATCTAGACTAGATGAAGTTTTCTCTCCAGAAAACATGGTCTGATTCAGAAGTCCCACTGTGAGCTGAGACCATTCCCTGGTTAGAACTTACAGCATAAATTGAAGTCCAATTCAAAAAAAGATTATAAACGAGACGCTTCGAGCCATTCTATGTGCGAACGCGGCAAATTCATATTCCAAATTTTACCCTGAAGCCTCAAAGAAAGTAGAAAAGTCTCTAGAATGACCAATAAGATTTAATTTTTTTAATCGGGAATTCGTACCTGATTTTCCAATGAAATCACGAAGATGAAATAGTTATTTTTTTCAATAAAAAAACTTTTTAATTATCTGAAAAAAATTTTTGAAGTATTGATATTAAAGCAGGAATAAGCGCTTAATGTATATCTTTCATAGAAAAATTCATTTTTTTAACTTGAAATATTTCGATCGACTTTCAAAAAAATCTTTCCATTTCTACCCTAGTTGAATTTATTTTCTAACAAACTGCTCAAATCTTTATTTTTCAAAAAATCTTCTCTTTTTCTCTTCTAATTTTCTCACAATTCAGGAATCTCTTCATGAAAATCCGCTTTTAATTAAAATCTCGTTCCTAATTCATGCCCTCCGGCAAAATTTGGACATCGAAGAGCTTTTATTATTTATTTACCATGGACTTGAAGAAAAATAAGTTTTAAAAAACAATTTTTCAGCACGAAATGTTCAAAATCTACCAACGGCTCAAATGGGTATACCAGAAGTTCAAGGTGAGCTTTGAGATTATTGATTTATTGTGGAAATAGGAACTTTTATTGATTTTTGGAGCTTCAAGTGATTTGAAGAAATAGGGATAGGTTCAAGTTTATAGCGAAACTGAAAAAAAGAAAAAAAAATGAGAAAATTATCCTTATTTAAAAAATTCATTCATTTTTATTCTGAAGTGTTTCTTCTCATAGAGTTCATAAACATAATCGACTAACCTGTTCCTTATAGGGACCACCTTCGCAGGCTTTGGTGGCCCCTATAGGGGAAGGTGAAATGGTCTCTATAGGGGAGCCTTCAATTTGACCCTATAGGGACCCCTCTAGCGTTCCTAAGTAAGATTTTCTGTTTCAAAACTCATCAAATTATCCTTAGAGCTAACTTTATCCTCTAAAATTCGCTCTTCTTTTTTCCAGCTCAGCGCTTGGATGCCATTCGTGGCTTTGATCGCCTACACCATCCTTGGGGCGCACATTTTCATGACTTTCGAGCAAGGGCCCGATATCCAGGCCAGACAAGACTACCGTAACCGAACATCTTATGCGATGGAACAAGTTTGATGAATTTCAATTCATCAAAAATATAAAATATTCCTTCAGGTTTTGGAACGAATGCTCGAAGTCAAATGCCATGATAAAATGTCCATGGCCAATAAAAATATGCAGGTGACTGAGTTTTACCGTAAATTGGAACGTTGTTATTTAGGTTGACCACGCAAAAGAGGCCATTTTGTGGTTTCTGGACCATCTGAACTTGAACGTGGTCATCGAAGAGAGAACTGACGACACGCCGTGGACTTGGCTCGGCTCTATGTTTTATGCGGGACAACTTTACACTACTATTGGTAACTTCATTCAGTTTTTTTCAAGGAACTATTGAATTTAGAAAAAAATTTATTTGAGCTGAATTTTTTTAACTTTAGGCTTTTTCTTCTTCAAAAAAATATTTTCAATATTATAACTAACTTGAATTTTTTTCTTTGCGTCCTATTCAATGTCAACTGTGAAATTTTCGCAAAAATTTTTTTAAAAAAACTTATTTACTGTCTTTTGAAAATCAAAATTTTTGGAGTATGCAATTGCGCGTCCCGGTGTCGCACTCAAAACATCATAATTGAGGCAAAAGTCCGGCGATTTTTCCTATTTTTCCGATCCTTTTTTCATTTCACCTTTCAATTAATTTATTGAGCAAAAAGCTTCAAAAAATGAACAAAAACAAAAAACTCCGATAAATTCAAATTCTCGCGCTCCTCGGCATTTTTATGGGGCACGTTTTCCTGTTGTTTATTTTCGCGTCGTTAATCTTACTCTTTTTGTTTTCTTTGTTTCCTTTATTTTCTTGGATTCTTTTTTCACTTTTTTCGCTTCACGTCTCATATATATTCTGATTTTCTAGCAAAGTATCGGGGATATGGAAGAAAAACGCTGAAAAAAAAAAAAAATTGTAAAAAGTTCATCTGAAGCTTCTATGCTTATTTCTTTCAAACTTGTTATATTTTTCAAATTCGGAAAAAAAAAATTTAATGGGAAATTTCAGGTTATGGGTATCCGACAACGAGGACGGTTGGCGGAAGGGTCGCCAGTATATTTTACATTCTTTTCGGGATACCAATTTTTCTTATTATTCTCAAGGTGAGTCTTGAATTTCAAAAGTTTTTCGGACTGAAAATAGAGGTTTTGTATCTTTTTTCTTCCTAAAACTTCCATTTTCTTGTATTTTTCGATATCAAGGCTTTTTAGTTGAGAAATCCTGAACTTTCAGGACATTGGTAGTTTACTGTCCCGGGCACTTCGCAAGCTCTACAAGAAGTTACGGGTCTCAAAGCGAAAAATCGCCCAGACAGCTCCGATGCGTCGGCTTTCCATTCCTCCGATTCCAATCTTTGTTAGTTTCAGATTTAACTGATATTTCAGTTTCTGTCTTTATTTTTTATCGATGAATCACTACTTTTTCCATTCTGATAAATTTTAAAAACCTAAAAAAAGGTATTTTTTGATAAATTTCTAATTTTTAAGGAGTTCTCCCGTCATGTGGTAAGTTTTTTAAATTTTCGCTATGAAAAATTTCAAATTAAGTCTGGAATTAATCTGATTTTTTTAAGAGATTTATCCGACCGCTTGTAAGTTTTTCTTGTGAATTGAGAGACGTCCTGTTTTTCGTGACTGTGAGGAAAAAGTGGTCTTTTCTGTGAAAAAGCTTATATTCGAAAAAAAAAATGTGGTTGGTTTGAATTGATAATTTGATTCAGAACGTCAAAAGTTTGGACAAAAATGATTTGGAAGCGGGAAAAGACGTCGAAAATGCGACCGAGTTTGATCCGATGAAACAGGTGAATTTCTTGGTTTTTTTGGTGTTTAGTTATCCTAGGATGTTTGAATATAATCTCGAAAAAAATGGTTTCAAAAAGGACTAAGAAAAATGATTTTTTTGGTTTTATTATTTTTTTCTTTTTTTTAAAAAAATCGTTTTGTCTCTTACCTGAAGCTGGAATAGTTCCTGAGGAAAATTGTTCTGCAATTAGTTCAATTTCATTATTTCAACTTATTTTCATTTGATCAATCCTTTTTTATTATAAAACTAATTTTTTTAATTATTTCCATTTATGAACGCGGTGGAAAAATTCAACTTTTGCTCACATTTTTTTCGATTAGTTTTTTTAATGTTTTTCTCTGTATTTTTTTCGTGTATCTAGAGTATATTATGATTTGAAAAACCATGTTAATTAAATTTCTGAAACAACGAAAAATTTGCAAAACTGAAGTAGAACTTTTTAGATAAAAACACTTTTTTTACAAGAAATCGGTGTCTTTTTCAGTAATTTTAGTGTCTCTGCATTGAGATTATAATCATTTCAATTTTTTTCCATCATTTTTCTTGTAGCACTGATTAAGTTGTTTTTTTGGATCTCGCTCAAAAAAATCTTTTATTTCTAAAAAAAGTTCTTACAAAAAGGAATTTTACCGGAAGCTTTCCAAGTGAAATATTTCTGTTGAATTTTTCATATTAAAAATTCACAAAAATACAGTACTTTTCCAGTAAGCTTCGAGAATTGTTTGCGGTTTTTAAATTACCTTCGAAAACTACTACTATCAGTCAGTATTACTTGAATTATTTTTGAAATATCCTTTTCCAATTTTTAGAATTATCTTGCTTTTGTTAGCTCATAGGAGTCTATAGTTTTTCATTTGAAATTTTTCTCACAAAATGAATTTCTGTGGAAGTTTCTCAAGTTTATGCCGTGAAATGTAAAATTGTCTCTGACTCTCCAAAAATTTAATTATATTTTTTTTCTTTCTCTTGTATTTCGCGGAATCACTCTGAACACGACATTAATGTTTCTAATGAATTTTATTGACTTAGCTTTCAAAAAACTAGTTCTGCTCACAAGGGCTGTGTGCGCGGTGAACATCGAGTTATGAATTGAGGCTTTCATGGTAGATAGACCTAGGGGAGAGTGCTCCGAAACGAAAGAGAAAATCTGCTAAGCGCCATAGGGTACCGAGAAAAGGCTCGTCAAAGTTTTGCCGCCACGTATATGCCCGCGCTCGGAATGCTCAGCCAGCAACTGGGAGCGTGGTGAAGTGGCAGTGTTCTTGAATGGCGCTGACGCTATGCTAGGTTCGATTCCTTTTGACGTGAAACTTTTTTTGCCTTTTTTTATTCAATTCTTCTCCACTCTATTATTAAACAAAAACATCTAAAAATGTTTGAACAGAAGGAGATGAATGAAAGTTGGAAAAAAAGGAAGGAGAAAGCACAAAAAAAACTTTTTTGTGTCATATTAAGTTTTTCCATTGAAAATATCGGAAAAAAGTTCTGATAATTGGTTTATGGCTTTCGATATCACAACACGATGGGATTGAAGCAAAAAAATATAAGTGTGAAACTCACTCATAATTATGTGAAAAAAAGAAACCAAGTGTGAGTATGAGCCCGAAGAGCACAGGGAGTCCTGTCAATCAAATTTCGCATTCTCCATGAAATTTCAGAAGTTTCGGTGAGCAATAAAACAAAACTTCTGGTATTAGAAAAAGGGAAAATAGAGCAGTCGGTGGAATTTTTGCGATGAAAGATTTCCAAACAGTAAAAAGAAAAAAAAAACATATGAAATGGTTGAATGAGGCCAGAGGAGCCAAGTGTGATATTATTCACAAGTATAAAACTTTTTAGAGGAGGTTCCTGACAATTTATTATATTTTAATGCGTTGTCATCTCGAGTAGCCGCCCAAGCATCAATTATTTGAACAATTTTTTAAAAGTTATCAATGGAAAAACTGAATATGACCCAAAAAGTTTTTTTTTTGTGCTTTCTCCCTCCTTTTTTTTCCAATTTTCAATCATCTCCTTCAATTCAAACATTTTTCGCTGTGTTTGCTTAATAATCGAGTGTAGAAGAATTGAAAAAACAAGAGCAAAAAAATTTTCACGTCAAAATGAATCGAACCCAGCATAGCGTCAGCGCCATTCAAGAGCACTGCCACTTCACCACGCTCCCAGTTGCTGGCTGAGCATTCCGAGCGCGGGCATATACGTGGCGGCAAAACTTTGACGAGCTTTTTCTCGGTACCCTATGGCGCTTAGCAGATTTTCTCTTTCGTTTTGGAGCACTCTCCCCTAGGTCTATCTACCATGAAAGCCTCAATTTCTAACTCGATGTTCACCGCGCACACAGCCCTTGTCAGTGAAATCAATATGGATTTGTATTTTTTTGAATATTTTTGGACTTTATTGATTCAATTCTGAAGTCATACCCCAGTTACTTTTTAGACTTTTCTCGTACTTTGTAGAATGCGTTGAACAAGAAACTCCACGCGGACAACTCATTCCCGATCCCGTTGGCGTTGACCATCCTCATCCTGTGGATTCTGTTCTCGGCGGCCTTGTTCAACATGTGGGAGCCCGAATGGGGATTCCTCACCTCTGTCTACTTTTTTTTCGTGTCTATCAGGTCGGTTTTGAGTAAAAATCTGTTAAAAATGTCCTTTTTCTAGGCTCAAAAAATGTTTCTTTTTTAATTCAAACTTCAACAAAAACTATGATTTGAAAACTGAAATATTTTTTAAATGAACTTTAAAATCAGGAAGCAAAATTTTATGACCGGGAGCTCCCTATTTTTCAAAAGTTGTTCAAGTCCCGTACTTTATATTCTAAAGCATCTGTTCGTTCAGTACCGTCGGCCTCGGCGACATCATCTTTTCCAATCCGGATCGCATGATCTACACGTTCATGTTGATCCTCCTTGGACTCGCCCTACTTTCCATGTGCTTCAACTTGATTCAGGTGACTCCATAAGATGATTATCGGTGGTATGAAAAAAAAGACAAGCGAAAGTTCAAACGGCGATTTTTCCGATTTTTCGTATCGCTAGGGAACTTTCCGACGAATCTTTTTCCGACTTTTTTCCCTTATGTTTTTCGGCTTATAACACATCTATAATCATTTTTTTTTCTTATTTCTTTGTGTTTTAATCATGAAGCAACTACCTAATTCATATAGGAAGATTTAAAACGAATATTAAAAAAATTCGGAAAAAGATTCGTCGGAAAGGTGGCCGTCGGAAAGTTCCCTAGCGATGTGAAAAAATCGGAAAAGTCGCCGTTTCAATTTTCGCTGGTGTTTTTTTTCATTCCACCTTCATAAGATGACTATTGTATTTCACTTTTTTCACTGTATTTTTATATAGGTTTTTGAAGAGGTATTGTCAATTAGGAGGCGTTTCGGTCAAATTTGCGAAGTCATTTTTAAAAAAATTTTTTTTCAACTTGAAAGACTCACTGAAAAAAATTGCTTTTTTTCCAAAAAGTTTCAGTTTTTTTCTCATTTGATTACGAATTTGAGCGAGTCTAGTGGAGACTTTAGGGAAATTTTTTTCTTGATATTTTTTTAAAAATTGTCCTTGTTTCTTAACTGTTATTTCGTCACGGAATTTAAGCACTTTTTAGTGGCAACTTTAGGGGCATATCTGGCTCGAAATTCTATTAAAACCAGATTTTTTTAAGTATCAAGAAAAGAAATATCTCTTACATGTATAAAAAAACTCTGTCAAAAAAAAATAATCGAATACTTGAGCCAGAACCAAAAAGACAATAATTTTCATGTCCTAAGATCAATCTTTTATTGCGAAACTGAAACAGGAAAAAAAGAGAAAACAAGGAGGAATTTTCATGGATTTCCGTGGTGAGTTTAATCTCCCACGGGGTCATAAATTGTCCGAGTGTAGGAGGTCGTTTATCAGCACACTCGATTCCTTTGTCTCGACCTTCTTTTTTTTGAATTTTGGGTCTCGAAACTAGAAAAATGAATCGAAAGAATCAGGAAATCATGAAAACGTGGCTTTTGGCTCGAGGTCATCATGGAAAAATGGTAGAAAAAAAAAGTTTTTTATTTTTTTCATGCTTTTCTTTGTTCAAAAAAATTACAATTTCTTGAGAAACTGTCAAAAAAAAGGTGTTTCCCCGTCAAAAAGCCGCGTCGCACACGTAACGCTCCAACACTCCGCCAAATAATAGTTTCCATTTTTTTATAGTCCCGAAAAAAACGGACTATAATAATAGGAACTATATTTTGCACAGAGAATGTTTGGAAAAGGTTCAAAAAATGATAACATAAAGAGTAAAGTGAAAACTGTGAAATTTGGATGGTTTTACCGTTTCAAACCGCTCACAAGTGTTTTTTTGAGATCATTTTTTTAAACGTTATGTGTAAACTTTTTTTCCAAACCTGACTTTAAATGTCGATAAACTTTTTCTGAACATGATAATAATGAAATTATAGGGTTTGGACACTTTTTTTAAAAAAATTGAAATTCTGCGGGCAGAATGGCTCAAAAGCGTTTTTTTAATTTTGAAATTCAAAAAAACTTTTAGTTTTTTTCTGTGGACCATCTTCCAAGAGAAAAAAACTTCGAAAGCAACCGATTTATCAACTAGAAAAACAATAAAAATAAATTATTTTGTCTTTATATCTTATGTCCATAATCACTTTTTGAAAGATGGTACGACAAAATCTCAATTTCGCAAATCTTGAGAAACGTAATCTTTGTGTACTCAGATCTAAATTCTCATAATCTTGGAAAGCGAGAATCTCCCTTTTTAGTCTTATTTATTGCACTTCATATACTTAGATTCTCTTGTTTGGATCACCGAATACCATTTCTGATAAAATCTATTCGCAGGAGCGTTGTTTTTTCTATCCTGGATTGTGGTTTCCAAGATTATGGGACTTTAGATCTGCGTACACAAGATTACGGTCCTCAAGATTTGCGGTCTTGAGATTTTGTCGTACCATCTTTTGAATGCATCGTTTAGTTCTTATTTTTTTGGTTAGTTTCATTTCAATTCATCCTCTTAGGAAAATCAAAATTTTTGAAATTTCAATGTTTCTTATGGGAATTTCGAAACCGTAAAGTGATATTTGTCGTTTTTACAAAAGTTTTTTTTCTAAAAATTTTAATATTGATGGTTTCATGTTTTTAATAAGTTTTTCGTTGTCAGGCAGCCCTGGAACGATTTTTGGACCGATTACTGGACGAATATATAGAAGAAATCGAGAAAATGGCGGAAATCGTGACGCAGGACGACGGGCTCAACGAGCAGGCCATGCCTTTGGAGTTCAAAATGACCGGTGAGTTTTGGGTTAGAAATTTCGGTACAAAGTCAAAAAACTGATTTTCAATAAGGTTCCGGTTTCAGAGTGTTGGCTTTTAGCCACAGTTTTCATGTATTCTCAGTTGTCCTACCTCATCAAATACTTTTAAAAAACGAGATTAATCAAATCTTTCGAGCAGGAAAAGTTCGATTTTCATTCTGGATTGTCTCAATTGAATTAGAAAAAATTTTAAAAAAACGGCAAAGATCAAAGTGGTCATTTTTTAAAAGTTATTAAGTTTTTCAGTTTCCAATTGTTTGAGTGTCCAAAATGCGTGAAATTCTGGATTATGGTTAGATTTGAGTTTCGAAAAACCAATGGGCGACTCGAAATAGAAGATTTTGTGTTTCTTTCAATAAATTTTATGTCAACAATTTTTAATTTGCCCCGAAATCGAAATGTGTTGATTGCGAAATAGTGTTTAGTAGCATTTTTTTTTGGCGAAAATAGAAAAATTCAGAAAAAGTGAATTTCCGAAAAACTGACTTCGAAAATAATCATATAAGGAACAAATCGGCCCTTTAAAACGGTTAACACCTTTTTTATGTATCCCAAAAAAGCTTCAAAATTTTGAAAACTTGAAAAAATAGGCGTCATAAAAAAGTGACCGAACCGACCGATTTTTCCAGGGTGTTTTCGATGTATATCAAGCTAATAGGGCTTAACACGACGTTTGGAAACTGAGAAAAAAGCTCGAAGCTTCATAGTTTTATGTGATTTTTGTGTTTTTTTCAATGAGAATAACCAAAGAAAAATGAATAGTTATTACTCAAGGATCGGTATCTTTCATTTATTTTCGAAAGGTTCAGCTAACTCATTTTCAAAGCGCCTTAAAAATTATCCTCCTTGTGTCCTTTTCAAAGTAATTTCCGCGAAATTCAAAATTGTCCCTGACATTTCAAAGTTTAGTTATCTTTTTCACTTTCTGACGATTTATTCGCAGAAAATCTTCGAACACAACATAATATATCAATAAGAAAGCAACCGCAACTGTTACAATTTGCCGAGAAAGTTTCAAAACCTCGAAAAAAAAGGTCTGTAAAATGTTGAGAAGCAATTGGCCACGTGTCAGCGGCTGATCAATGACGGCCGCTTTGTCATTGATAAATGTTCGGAGTTTTTTCCTTCTTTTCATGAACTTGCAACTGTCGCATCCCAGCAGTTCACCCAGACCATCTGTCATCGTTAAGCGGAACCTTTTCAATGAGTTTTGCACCATTGAGGCCCGAATTTTCTGTTTCTATGAAATGGATCGCATATTTACGGGGAAGCTCGTTTTGAACCCTTTTTGCTGCTGGAGTTTCATCTAACTAGGAAACGTTTTTTTTTTTAAATATCTCCTATATTTATCAAGTTTCTGAATAAAGTTCTTACATTCAACAGCTTTTCACAGATGGAAACTGATTTTAAGGAGCTTGGCTGTGGCCAGTCATGCTCATCCCTGAAACTATGTTAATTTCTCATTTTTGAGCCATAAATTAAACTAAATTTCCAGGAAACTTGCTATCTCTGCCGATGAAAAGGGTCACCAACACGACGGGTTTCATTTCCGAGGCGAAAGGATGGATGGCAGAAAGGTGATTTTTGGGAAGTCCATTTAGGGAAAGCTTATTTTTCGTAATATTGACAAAAAATGTGAAAAATGAAGATATTTGGGTTGCCTTTTTGCCGGTATAAAAAAAATGAAAAATCAGAAATGGAAAAAAACCTAGGAACGCCAGCGTGGTCCCTATAGAGACTAGGTAGAAAAAGCACTTATAGGGGAAAAATAGTGTTCCCTAGAGGGCAAAACTTTGGGGGACCCTATAGGGATGAACTTCAAGCAGTTCAAAGCTTAAGTGGTTCCTAAAGGGGCCATTTAATTTTTCCGCTAAAAATTTGAAAAAAATAACTTTTACAAGTTTTATTCCCCTTAGGGAAGGTAAGATGGTCTCTAGTGAGGCCCCTAAAAGTGCTCCAAAAATTGCCCCTTTAGGGACCACTTTGGTCACCTAAAAAAATGCTCTTAAGGTAGTGACGATCTTTTTTAATTATATGGAAAACTGACAGAACCAAAGAAAGTTTTTTCGAAAAAAGAGGACTTTGGAAATTAAAAAAAAAAACTAAATCTCTAATGATAAGAAAGTAATGAATTGAGTATAATTCAATAAAAATTTCCTTGAACCCCAAAATTTCAGAATCGCCAATAATCTGATCGCTTCGAGACTCCATGGGGTCAAGGAAGAATCGGAAAGTGAAGGAGAGGAAGAAAAAGAGGCCGAGTCGGAAATCAGCCAAGGAAGTCCTTACAAAATGGCTAAAGTAAACTGAGGCTACAGTAATCCCTTATTACTGTAAGATTTTCAGGCTCACGAGGTTACTGTAAAGGACGGCATTCCGTCGTCGAGGAGGGACAGTCGGACTAGCATTGGTAAAAATTTGACGCTATTTTTTTTACTGTAAATGAACTTGGTATATTTGGGTCGCATGTAGAATGGCTCAGCGCGTTGCGGTCGCGGTGCGGTTCGAGATAGAGTTTTGTTTTTGAAATTTTTGGGCGTAAGTCGTTTTGGGGTCGGGTGCACTTTTGATGCAGTCACGGTTTGAGTTAGAACTTTGAAGTTTTCGTCTTGAGACCTTTATAAAATCTGCATATGCTCAATAAGATCTTTCTTTTCCATTTTTCTCGACTTGAAGCTGCTGTTTTCCCTGCGCTTTCCTCCTCTCTCCTCCCTTGTTGAAATGCTATGTTTATGATTCTGAAATTTCCGGCGTATGTCGCTTTGTGGTCGGCTGCACCTTCGTGAGGCCGTTTAGCCATTCCCGACGCGAAAGAAATATGTTGAGGCGCGCAAGTCGCTTCAGCGTCGGTTGCACTCTCAAAGCAGCCGCTTTTAGCCATTCCCCATGCGGCCAGGGTTTAAAGTAACGAATCTCATTTCAGGTTCCAACAGAGCGAAATTGTCCCGATCACACCATTTACGACAAAATCGACCCCTGCTCAATACGATTAGGACTTTGGAGAAGATCAAACCTTCGCATAATGATTTTAAGTGAGAAATTTTGATTTTTTGGGTTCGAAATGAAAAACAGCACTTTCTATATTTTTTTGAGCTCGAAGGCTAATAATCTTAAAAAATGCTAAAGGTTTTCGTTTTTTCATAAATGCTTTTATGAAATAATTGTAATAACGATCTTTTCATGGAATAACTGATAATGGAGATGATGAACAACAGAAAAATAAACTCAAAGTTAATGAACCTTCCTTGAAACGTATGTCTTCATAGTTATAATCTCAACTTTTGATTGAAATGACTAATGCCGTGTTAAAAGTGATTCCGAGATTTCTAACTAGGGAACTACCCGAATTCGTATTCAAGGATCGAGTTCACTTTTTAGTGGTTCATAGACCCGGGTAAGAGTACTTGAAAACAGGCAATATAATTTGCTAAACCCAAGATACCGAGAAAACGCTTTTTGAAAGTGGCTTGATAATTTTTTTTTTCTTTTGGCTGGAAAAAGTTTTTTTGGACTTTATCATAGCCGGATCATTCAAGGCGATTGTATTAAAATATAAAATAAGACAGAAATAAGTATTCTGAAACTTTTCAGGCCTAATTTTTACTCAGTGCGGGTTTAGCAGATATTCTTTCTTGTTTACAAGTATTCTCACTTAGGTCTATAAACCACTAAAGTTTGAACTCGATCCATGAATAGTTCGCGTAGTTCCCTAGTAAGTAGCCATCAGAGGGTGAAAAGACTTGCGATTTTCTTCTAGATCTATCATTTTCTCGAAATTTGTGCAATCGGAGCAGCTGAACCGACTGGTCGACGAGTCCGTCGCAAATTCGAAAAAGGTTGGAAAGTTCTTTGCTTTTTTTTGTTTTAATCAAATGCGTCTTTCAACTTTTCACTAGATTATCTCAGTTTCACTTCTCACTTTTCATTAAACCTCGTCTTTTTCTTATTACATTTTCACTCCACAAAAAAAAACGATAGTTTCCTTTTAATTATTAATTATGTTTTTTTCTTCTGGATTTCCATTTTTGCGACAAAAATAACGTTTCACCATCAGATAACTTTTTTTTTTATATAAAAATTTGGACCATCGTAACCAGTACAGTCAACTTTTTCATGTCACCAAAAAAACTTTAAAAAAATTCTGCGAATGTTAACGAACTTCTTATAAATTGTCTTTTATATTTTCTTTTTTTCTTTTTAAAAAGTCGTGATTCATGTTTTTCTCTCTAAATTTGGGTGATGTGTAGAATAAACTCTCTAGTTTCTGATAATACGACATTCATAGAGTTAAAACTTATTTTTTTATACCTTTTTTGCTTTTTTTTCTTTGTGTGGGTTTTTATTATTTTTTGTTAAGGCGATGACGACGGTCTCGTGTCAGACGGACGTCTCCTCTTCGGTTGAAGAACGGGAAAAGAAGCCGTTCCGGAGGATGCGGAGCATTCGTGAGTCTCAAAATCCAATATTAGGTTTTCGCGCAGAAATTTATTTTTTTGAAGATATTTTGTACTCAGTTTCGTTTCTAGACTACGAAAATTCCGTATTTATCAGATGGTAGGGATTAAAAGTTTGCGAATTCTCCGATTTTTATAATATCGTTTCGGAACTTCTCGACGACAAAAATTCTGAAAATCGATTTTTTTTCCCCTATCATTGTTTTTCTACCCTATATTTTTTTTTCTGCTCGTTTGTGTTTTTTCGGGTTTTTTGGGTAGTATCAGCACTCTTGATCCCTAGAGTTGCTCAGAAACGCTCGGGGCCCCGTCCGAATTCCATTCCCGGGGCCCGAGTTTTTATGAGCTTACTATCTAATTTATATAGGGACTTTGAAAAAAAGATGGTATGAAAAAAACACCAGCGAAAATTCAAATGGCGACTTTTCCAATTTTTCCATATCGCTAGGGAACTTTCCGACGGCCACCTTTCCGACGAATCCCTTTCCGAATTTTTTTTCTCGATAAAATATTCGTTTTAAATTTCCTATATAAAGTAGGTAGTTGGTTCATGATTAAAAACACAAAAAAATAGGAAAAAAATGTAAATAGATGTCTTATAAACCGAAAAATATAAGGGAAAAAAGTCGGAAAAAATTTCTTCGGAAAGGTGGCCGTCGGAAAGTTCCCTAGCGAAATGAAAAAATCGGAAAAGTCGCCGTTTGAATTTTCGCTGTTGTTTTTTTCATACCACCGAAAAAAAAGAACTTCTGAAAAAAGGCGAAAATATTCGTTGCAAAGTTCTCTAGCGACATGATAAAAATCCGAAAAGTGGCCATGGAATCCTTGCTAATTTTTCAAACTCTCACCATCCTTTTACAAGTTTTTTTTCTTTACTATGGCAAAAAATGTCCTAAGAACTCTTTTTCGATTTTTCTGACATTGCTCCGAGTCCGAATTTCAATAGATCCCAAAAACCTCACAAAACAATAAAAGAGACACATTTCTGCACGAGACACCTACGCTCCTGAAAAATCCTCAAAAATTTATCAGAAAACTTCAGATTCGACGTCTTCGTTCTCGACCAACTACACGAACTCGATGGTGGTAAACGACGACGAGTCTCTGATGTCGGCCGCCTTCTGCGACATGAAGTTTGACTTCCACACGGAGACGTCGACGCCCCCTTCCATCCATCGACAGCCGTCCTCCCAGAGCGTCTCCAAGCTCGACGACGAAGACGTCGTCCCCAACCTGCCCAAGTTGCTCGGGCCAAGTCCCAAGACCTCGGGACTTCCTCCGAGAAAGGTCCGACTGGGGTTTAATAGGAGAAAATAGAGTTATAGACAGAGAGTTTTATAAAAAGTGTACCCGTAAAGTTTAAATTCATAACAGTTTGAAGTCTTAATTTACTCGATTTCAAAATGCTCGGGCCAAGTCCCAAGCCCTCTGGATTTCTGATGTCTTCGAGAACGGTCCAAGGATGATTCATTAGGAAACGATGAAATTATAGATAGAGTATTCCGAAAAAAATGCATCCATACAAATCCAAATTCATACAGTTTATCTCATTTTTTTTTAAACTTGCTCGGGCCAAGTCCCAAGTCCTCTAGACTCTTCCGAGAAAGGCCCGACTTCAGGTCATCGAGATGAGACAAACTTATTGATTGAGAATTTAAAAAAAGATGTTTGAATCTTTAATTTTTTTGCAGCCTTATTTCTTTATTTTGTTAAAGTTAAAGTTGCTTTTAAAGTTGCTCGGGCCAAGTCCCAAGTCCTCTGGACCTCTGACGTCCCAAGAACGGTCCGACTCCGGTTTATTATAAACAGGAAAAATCAATCAATAAAAAAATCTAGAAGCGCCATAAGTTTCGAAAAAAACCATAAAAACAACCGGTACTTTTTTCAGGAAGCTTTTATATGAAAATTACGTGAAATCAGGCTTCAGAGAGCCCAAAAATCTGTCTTATTGGTTTTATTCTGGTTAGAATCAACTGAAAATTCAAAAATCAGAAAAACTCCATAAAGGTTGAAATAATTATTGCTCTTTCAAGCGATTTTAGGGAACGAAAAAGAAGATTATTGAAAAAAATTTTGGATTCAATGGCTTTTCAACGAATTCATTAATTTTGCATATGAAAAAAACTAAATTTTATCACTGAAAAATTGAAAAATCTCATTCAGTGGCACTTGCCCCAGCCGAAATACGTCCGACTGACTTCAAGACAATTTTGTCTCGTAATTTTTCTTTTCCAAAATTTTTTAATGCCTTTAAAAATCAAGTTTCAATCACTTTCTGCACAACAATCCTTCTCAAAATTGCTCACAAAACCTCGCTTTTTCCACATTTTTCATTTTTGAAGTTCACAGCATTTTTTTATGGTATTTTGCTCACAATTCAGCTTTCTTCATTTTTTTCAAATTTTTTTGAACTCAGTATGTTAAAATAAACGTTTCAGTTGTCATCACAACTCCCTGCGGTCCACGAAACGCCAAGGAAAACGCCCCGAAAATCAATCACAGCCGTTGACGAAGACTTCGAAGGGATTTCCCGGTTTTGGTCGGTTTTTATTCAGTTTTTCGGAATACCAGAGAATGTGAGAAATGATAAAGAATTTATTTTTTTTTTCGAAAATCGATAAAAAATTTTTTTTTTTTCAAAGTTTATTAGAAGCCTGAAATTGTCTATGTTGAACGTTTCAGGCTCACTATTTATTTATTTATTTATAAGTTCGTTGGTTAAACAAGTGAACGGACTTTTTTTCGAAATCTAAAAACTAATTCTGAGCCTTCAGAAGTCATTTTGAGGATTCATGATACTGGTGATTGGATTTACTGTCCTTTTTGGGGCCAATGTTGAAAAAAATGAATCAAGTTCAAATCGAGCTTTCGAACGAGAAAAAAAAAAACAGTAGTGGAGAATTATTTCCAATATTTTTTTCTGGAATGATAAGTGCTTTTTTTGAATAAATTTTATGAAAAATCGTAGAATTATTTTTTTTGACCATGTCGAAAATTTCTTTTCCGTTGGACCTCCCGACTTTTTTTTTAACTGAAATTTAGGATATGATCGATCTTAAAAAGTTATACTAGATTAATTTTCTTCAAGCTTTTTTCCTTTCAAGAAATGAAAACTTTTTGGACTTTGTAAAGAAAGATACGAAGGAAAGTGGGACTTGAGAATGAAAAACGGCGCCGATTTCAAGTGGCTACTTGAGAATCGTATAAATTTTTTTTGACATGCATATAGATAAATTCTGGCGATTTTATGATAAGGAACAGCACATAAAAAATTTGAAATGATTAAAATTTTAGGACATTCTAATTTTTATTTTTCAGAATTGTTAGACTAATTTTTTTCCAAAAATTTGGATTTCATAAGTTTACTGAAACATGGTACTTGTTGTAAATAAATTTACTGAAGACGTGATAACCAATATAACCGTTTTTATAAGATTCAAGAAGAGTTGTCTTCACTTTGTAACCCGTAATCGTCATCATGGCATTCGACTTTTTGAACTATTTTATCCAAAGCGCATTCGATGTTGCTGTGGCCTTCAAGTTGAACTGAAATCCATAGAATTTTGAGAAAATTCAAGTGAAACCAACATCGCTCAATGAAGGCGTTGACCGGGTCAACAGGAATACGTTTCCCTGGTTCGTCCGATCCAACTTTGACTTCTTCCCGAGAAACGCCAGGATGAGGCCTTTTTTGTCCTCTGTTCGTAAGAACTTGGTGGCCGACGGCGCAACGGTTCCTTTTCACGTCGGCCGCCGCCTCGGAACTGTAGTACCTTTCGAGATTCTCCGCCTGTCGTTGAAGACGTCGGCTGTTTTGGCTGAGAAGTTTCTTTGATCATTGGGAGAAGGAGCAGTGATTTACAAGAACTTGGAAGCCGTTGAGTGGATGCTTTCTTGGACTTTCTGATGGATGACAAGTCGGAACGGGTCCGACCATTCTTTCATGTCGGCGCAGGCTAGTAGGAATTCTGGAAGGGTAATTCTGGTCTTGAAAGTTTTTTGAGCAGTCTTGAGGAGATTATTGATCAGGGTATATTCTTAGCGTGCCGTAGCGCAACGGGTTGTTTGCCTGTCTAAGGTCCAGAAGGTCATAAGTTCAATCCCCGCCGCGTGTTAACCCAAGGAGTTGAAGAAGTTTTGATACTCGGAAACCACGGCTTTATAGTCTCGTCACAAACAAGACCAGATATCTAACCAGTCCACTGATTATCACTGATATCAGGATAGGACCTAGGCTAATAGACTCGGGGCCGCTCAAGCGGTACAAAGACGTAAGAAGAAAAAAGATCTTCTTTTTCTTATGCTTGTGATGAACAGAGTAGTTTTTTGTTCAAACCTTGCATCTTGACGTAGAGCTCATCCGGCAACTTGAGATATTCTGTAGATCTTGTTGATGAGGCGACGAAGGCGTACAAATGTCGTCGGTCTACTGGTAGAATCTTAAGGAGACAAGACAATAATTGAGCAAAAAAGGCTTTAATGGTAATTCCAATTGTAACTAACCGTTCGCAGAGTATAGAGAACGAAAGTTGGGGTGTAGGAAAAAACGTAGGTAGTGTTGGTTGTCATCGAGGCGGCGATGGTCAGCAAGGAGATCTTCTTGTCGTTTTCTGTCGGGATGCTGATGATGAACTCCTCCTCGTTCAGATCTCTTATCCTTTCCGTCTGGATGGACACTTCTGGCACGACCTGAGTGATAAGATTATCCGAGAAAAAAGTTCATCTCACCGTTTGCTTGGTAATCCCAGAAGTTGTCTTCTTCGTTCTGTCCTGCTCATTCAGGCGCTGCTTCTCCATGTCATCGAGACGGAAAATCTCCTGAAAAAGTTCAGGTTTCCCTAGGATTTGCGATGAAAACTGACAAAAGACCCATTGACATAATTCGCAGTCAAGAAACGATGTCGTTGATCAGCCGTGGTCATGGCGGCGGCTTCGAATCGACGACGATCCCTGGGACAAATGCAGACGTTGTGCAGGGATTTGCAGACGTCGTGGCAGATTTCCTGGGGTTTTAGGATGATTAGGATTTATACTAAGAGATGTGATCAGTTTAAAGTTAAGTAGGTCTAGTTCTTAAGCAAAGGGAGATATTGCTGGATTCACTAAATCGGTTTGAAGAACTAAAATTTCTATCAGGAGCGAACGATTTTAATTGCTATGTATAGTTTGATTCCCATACAGGAAGAAAGGTGATTCTAAACTTAAAAATTTTTCCAAAAAAATGTTTCGAAAATGAACGCCTCAGTTTGGAAAAAATGTATGAGGTGTTGAATAAAAAGCGTTTTTTCAAAAAAATGAGTAGTTGAAAAATCCAAGATTTGTCGATTCAAAATTATGGAAAACTCCAAATTTCAAAAAAATTTTTTTTTAACCTTTGTTTTTTTCCATATTTTGGATCAAAAAAATACATTCTATTCAAAAATCTCCATAACTCACTCCAATTTGCGCCTCTGTAAGATCTGAAATCCCATCTGCGCCATGGCAAACGTCTTCGAGTAGAGCAAATAATTTGATCACTTTAACCTTTCCAAACTCGTGTAGGTACATTCTAAACGACAAAGTTTTTGAAAAAAGAAAGTTTATAGAAAAAAAAAACGACAGAAATGGTTTTTTTTTTGACTTCAAAATTTGGTTCTGTATCTCCTTTAGAAGGCAGACGATGTGAAATCTTCTCAAAAAAAGTTTTTTTTTTTTTGAAATTTCGTTGTTTATTTTTGGGTAATAGTAGATTAAACGACGAATTTAAGCTTTTTTGTATCGAGATCGAAACGGAAGACTTATTTTTTGATGAGAAGGATGGGAAATGGTGGAGGATGAACGGAGAATGGGGAGGTGGGCACTTGAGGGCCGAGACAGCGGCAAATATTGATTGGCCACTCAAGTACCTACGTGTGGCGCTAAACGACCGCTTTTTTCCTTCTTTTACTCGCTTTCTCGTCATATTTAGTAATGAAGAAGTGAGAGGACAGGGAATTCTTTAAAAGGATGGTCATTTTAATCTGGGGATGGGAATTTTTGGAAAATCCGCCATCATTCGATATATCTGCATGCCCTTAAAGAACACTTCAAAGTCAAAGAAAATCCTCAAAATCCATTGAAGTAGCCTTTGAGCCCTTATTTCTCGGGAGCTAGAGCATTGGGTATACAATTACAGATTAATATAATCTTTTGGGTTATTAAAGAAAATTTTCTAAACCCTCGTTTGAAGGCTTAAGAAAGTTGACTGCTTTAAAAGGCTTTTAGAATTTCCAAAGTTATATATACAGCTTTGAAATTTTTTTAATATCAGGTAGTTACGTATAAATTTAGAAGTTTCTCACTAAAAAAACTAAAAACTTTTACAGAGTAAGTGACTACGACTGAACTTTATCTAGTCTTTTGAAAAAGAGTTTTCGGTTGCCTCGAAGGACGTATAACAATTTTCTTTTTTTCAAAATAACAGTAAAAAAATCGATTTGCAGCATATCTCCGAAAGAAGAAACCCCGCCGGAGATTGAGCCCGAACCTTCTTCGGAACAAGCTCCATCCTTCGAAGTCGTCACCAACGAGTTCGACTCGCCTTCTGTTTCAACGTGAGAACAAAAGAAAACTTGAAACAAAAATTGCGATTTAATCTGGACAAAAAAGAAGGAAAAGTGGCATTTTTTAATAATTTTCGAGAATGTAAGATACTTAATTTTTTTAAAAAAATAAATGAGCCACGTGGATTAAAACCTAATCAACAGACTCAATATGAGCCTCTTATCATAGATTTTGGGAGGGAAATAATTTTTCGCTTTGTTTTCGACATTCAGAATGACATGAACCATATTGAAGAAGAAAAACATTTTGAGGGGACATTTTTGAGAGAGCGATATAGTGCGAGACTTTTGCGACATCGCAGCTTCGCGGAATAGCTTTACTCGGGCTGCGAAATAGTTCGATAATATTTTGTTAACTACCTTTTTTTTCAAAGTTTTTTTCTCAAAACAAATTTAAAATTTTGTAATAAGTTTCAAAAAGTGCATTTTTTTTATTCTTTTTTTTTCCCCCATTTTCCCTTCCAATGATAGTAATTCGATTCTCTGATTATCTTCTTTTTTTAAGTTTTAAATTGAAGATACATAAACATTATCTTTGATGGAGTCTTCATTTATTTTCCCGGCTCATTCGAACTATTTCTCAATTTTAGTCGTTTGAATTTCAGTGTTCTAATGTATTTACCGGTTTCTCGACTTCTATTTGATGAGCTTAGCTTAATAGTTTTAATTGTCTACGTAGGGTTTGTTCAACGATATAAAGCATGATTTTCAGATCCACTTCGATGGTCGATTCCGGGTTCGACGGCAGCACGAGGAAAGAAGAGCCGAAAATGAAAGAAGCCCGGGTTTTCTTCCGGAACAAGACTCCGGAGAGCCAAATTCCTGAAGAAGAACACATTTGAAGATTTTTTCCGTTCTTTTGTTTCTGATCTCAACTCGTTTTTATTATTATTATTATTATTACCGTTGTCATTCATTCCTCATCAAATTGCCATGCTTTTCCGTGTCGGGTCAAATATTCTTGTTTCTTTGTTTCTTTTTTTGAACATTTTACCGCTGACTTTCAAAAATATGCACAGTGAGGAATTGGTTTTGCAGTCTACCTCGATAATTTTTTCAACACGAATTGGTTCTTGGGAGCTCCAGAATGTTCCCTATAGGGGTTATAGCAAAAATGGAATTTTCCTATCCTCTTACAAGAGATTTCATTTTACTTTGAGATTGAGATTTTCCTGGAAATTGGCCAGGATACTCCTTGAGGTACTAACAGAAGATTCTGAAAGTCTCAACCTTCAACAATTTCTACTTTTTGAGAAACGCTAGTTCAAAGAAAACGCTCAAAATCCATTAAAATTAGCTATTTTTGGGCCTTAGACCCTTATTTCTTTGGTTATGCAGGTTGAAACTTCCAGAATATTCTTCTGGTACATCAAGAAGTGTTCTGGTCAATTTTCTGCGAAGTAAAATTACCTCCCTTGTTAGGAGCGCCAGAATGGTTCCTATAGGGGTCCTGGCAAAAAAGCCTGAATAGAAAACTAAAAAATGGTCAGGTAAATTTGATTGATCCCTTCAAAGTTTTAAGATCTTCCCCACTTTGTCAGGATTTTAAAATTAGAAATACATTTTTAATAAAACTTAATCGATTAATCTCCTTTTTTGGTATTTTTTTTTCATTCATTTACGGTAATTTACTGAACAGTTTATCAAAATAATCGACTAGAATGTTCCCTAGAGGGACCACTAACTAAACCTCTGTCAGGAACCATTTTTGCGAGCTTTATTAAGTGGTCTCTAAAGGGGAATCTTCAAGGACCTCTCGCCACCTCTCTGGCGCTTGCTTCATTTTCTTTTTTACCTCCCAGAAGATTTTAAAATTTTCCAATGATTGAGAGCCAGCGGTAGATGCATCATACGGTTATAGGGTTTGTCAATTTTGCCCCAGAGTTTATTCGAGATTGATAATAAATTATTTAAATGAAGTTTGAGTTTTTTGTGAAATGGTGTTGATTTCTGTAGCACTTTTTATTTTTTCTCGATGTTTTCCTTTGGAAATTTGAGAGATTAGAAGCCTTCAAAAGTATTTCTTGTCTCAAAAGTTGCATTAAATGTATATTAAATGTAGCAAAATGCGAAAAAAGGCATATTTACGAAGAAGATTCTGAACTTTTTCGCTTTTAAAAGTACCTGGATGAGTTTATTTTTTCATTCGATAGTTTCAAATAATAATTAAACCATATTACTTTTTTTCCAAACGGGCACTTTTAAGAGTATAGATTTTTGTTCAAAAAAAATTGAGTTGTACCAACTTTTGCATGAGTTTATCTAAAAAGAACAGCAATAACTGGAACAGTTTTTTTTAAAAAGAAGGTCGGAAACGGTATAATCAAAAACAGTCGTTTCTCCCATAAGAGAGGTCATTTCCCTTCACGGCTGGGAATTCCTTGATAATCGATCAGAGTACTTCTCGATTCACCAGAAAAAGGTCAACCTGCACATTTTTCTAGTTTTCGAGAAATGAGGGCTCAAAGCTCAAAATAGTTAATTTTTACGGATTTTGAGGTTTCTTAAAAGCTTGAAATTGGTGCAAGTTGAGGCCACAGGGTTTTGATCAACTAGCTCAATGAGTATTATGGCCAATTTTGAGAAAATTCCAAATTCTGGTCAACTTTCCGTGAATTCCAAAGCGCTTTGTGATATGACTTTTCTTATAAGGGTTTTTCTAAATTCATACCTCTATGGAATAAACTAACTTCATATTTTGGATCGACTTCACCCCGTAAATCATTATTCTTCTGTCCTTTTCCTTGAGTCACCAGTAGTGAACAAACCATCATTTTCGTTATTATCAACCCCAAATGAAGCAGTTAATCCAATTAGATGCCGATATTTGGCGCATTTCTTCTTGCTCGTCGGTTGTTTGCGAAGATGAGAAGAAGCCGGCAACATGTTGTTTAGTGGCGCTCCTTCCCCGACGCCGGAAATATCCCCCCAGAACACCGGTCCGGTTATCAATCATCCGGCCCGGTTTCAGGTCAAAAAACTTCTTTTGATCTTTTTCCCTTGTTTAGTCAGCTGTTTTGGCATGGATTTTTATTTTGAAACGGTTTTTTTTTGAAAAGGTTCGATGTGATAATAGTTATTATTCATTCAGCTCGGAAAGAAATACCGTAATTTCCAAACTTTTTTTGGCTTGATATTCTAAAAAGTTGCAATAGATAGCTGTGGAATTATGAGGTTTATCGTAGGAAGCTGCTTTTTTGGAGGCTGAGTAAAGTTATTCCTTCCGAACTTGTCCAAGTAAAATTCGACTTGAAGAATGGTAATGCCGATAATTAGCAATTTTCCATGTTTCCCTTGTTTTTTGAGAGTATTGAACGATTTTCATTATTATGTTCAGCTTTCAAGAAAGTCCTGAAGATAAAGAAAGCTTTAGCACGCCGTAGCGCAACAGGTTGTGTGTCTGGTTAAGGTCCATGTTCGATCCCCACTTCGACCCAACCAAGGTGTTCAAGAAATGTTGGTAGGAGGAATCCACGGCTTCACAATCATCTTCACACATGAAGGCGGATATGTCACTAGCCAGTTGACTGATTATCACTGATATCAGGATAGAACCTGGGCTAATCGTCCTAGAGATTCAATTCAGTTCAATTCAATTATAGTCGATGTGCCACGTATTGAAATTTCATGGAACGATACTCCGTTGTTCTTGTGGTTCTAGTGCGAAGCGTCTTGCCTCTGCGAATTGCGGTCGCGCTTTTCATTTTTTCTTTTATTTTATATTTTCACTTTTTCGACAATGTTTTATTTTTTTTTTTCGTGCCAAAAACGAAACTATCATTGCTTTTGCATGAATTTAACACCTGAAAGTCAAGTAATTTTTTAATTTTCAACAAAAAATGTATGGTAAAATTTCTTTTTTGATTACTCATATTTTTTCGTTCTTTGACATATATTCCTTTGAAGACTTTTCGAACACATTCAGAATAAACAATTAAAATCATGAGTTTGGAACGAAGAAAACTATTAAAACATAACAAAAATAGTGAAATTTTCAAATAAAAGAAAAAATGGAAAGCGCGACCGATATTCGCAAAGGCAAGGCGGTTTTTTCACGGCCACAAGGCCACCCAGCGGAGTGTCGTTCCATGAATTTTCAAGTCGTGGCACATCGACTATACCAGCGAATAAACTGCTTCACTATGTTGGAACAGTACAGCGTCCAGCTTGTCCAGGACCGACAAGCGCCGGAATATTATCCCACGAGAGAGCGGCAATGAGACCGACTAGTCGACCTGATAAAATGAGATAATAATTCCAGAGAGATAATGCTTAACCTAAATCGGCAGTACCCAGCAATTTTTCAGACTCTAAAAATCATTCTCAACTGCTTTTTCCCACTGTATCCCCACCCCCACCTATGTTCTCAAATAAACCTTCTTTCAATATTTCCACATTCCATCTCTAATCAACACGTGACTGAACCGGAAATCCAAGCCGACAGATTACCATGAAACTCGAGTAGATCCCTCGACGGTGTTGACCTTTCAGTCGAGGTTACGACCGGCGAATCTTCGCCTCACACTGTTTGCGTTGATTTGCGTTCGTTACGCAATCCTACGACGAGGTTACGGTAGCCGAACAGTTGCACTGATAACCGCGTGACTCGGCTGTGCGACGCGGCTGGCTTTTGAGAGAAGCTTGGGAAGATTTTTGAAGGCGCTGGGAGGAGCTAGGGAATGACCTCCTTGGATAGTCTTAAAGCCATTTTATTGATTGATAACTGCGTGACTCGGCTGATTTTTGAAAAAGAAGATTTTCAGACGTTCTGGATGGAGCTTGGGCCTTTCGAAATGGATCTTTTTTGAACTTCATCGGAATCGTTGGATTCTATAAAGTCTGTCTATTTCGAATTTTTTTGAAAATGAACAGAATCAACTCCTGAGGATTAAATTTCAACAAGAAATTAATGTAAACCAATTTTTCGGACTTGAAAAAAAGTCGCAAAAGATCATTCCAAGGTACTCGATATATTGGAAGCGTTCAGGAACGTGTTTTGAAGTCAAGGAAGAGATGAAACCTATTGGAATAATAAGAAAGGCTCCACAGAGTATCCCAAGAGGTCAATCCGTCGATGAACCCATTCACAAGTCAAGAACTGGAACCAGTCGGCTGTCGTCGGCGAACGGCTCTTCTCAGTGACAAAGCGTTACCGAAACAATGGGAGCTGCAACACGATCCAACAGAGTGTCATCAAGACGGACACATTGAAACGCTATAGGTGCATTGTGCCGAGTGATACCGTAACCGTCGGGCCGAGGGAGGAGCCGTCGTGGCGAGAGCAAACTGCTTGCGCGCGGGGGGGAAGCGCTGGCGAGGCTCACTGTCAATTGCTCTCGAGTCTCGAGGACCTTGACTCTGGTAGGATGTTCAACGTGTCGACGCTGACGACGTCGAGCCTCCGGCTGAAGTCGTCGCCGTCGTCCCTGGCGACGGGGATCGCGGCCTCGGACCAGGCGTCGACCTCGACGTCGCCTTGCTTGGACGTCGCCGGCGCGACCGCGACGACCGCCGCCGCCGCCGCTGGAGTGCTGCCACTTCATCAGCAACACAACAAGTAAGTGGGCTCTCCACGGATGCCTCTTCATCGAGATGTGCAACGATATCCATGAGAGGCTCATCAAGTATCCTCTAGACACGTCCGCCCTCCAGTTTCTGAATCTGCCGCCTTCTAGTCGAGCCTTCTGCCTTTTCGGCCTTGATGTTGTTGCTTTTTTTACCGTTTTTATGGAGTTGTGTAACAGATAAGGATGATAAAAATATCTTCTCTAGTTTGTCCATTCAATTAATTCACACATTAATTCTTACTTAATCGAAGGTTCTCTGCTTATTCATGGAATAGTTCGAGCTGTTAAAGCTGTCGTTGATCAAGGAGGGCGTTGTGCACTTTTTTATTATTGAAACTTCATCTTCTGAATCTTCCTTATTCTAGTCGAGCCTAAAGCCTTTTCATCTTGTCTCTTTGATATCCTTTCATCGGAAGATTATCTTTTCTAGTTTGTTCGGTCAGAATTACTCTACTTCTTTTAAGAGTTATAAGTTCTCTTCGCTAGAGGCTTTTTCTGAACCCTCCTCTGAATTGTCCGCCTTCCAGTTAACCTTTTTTTATTTTTGACTACTTCTTGTTATGATTTTTCTTTCTCATCATAGAATTATCATCTCTGGTATATTTTGTCCGTTAAAATTAGAAAGTAAAAAAAAGTTTGATTAACCGTTTTCTTATTTTATTTTATCAGCAAATTTTTTTTAGTCGAATCTACCGCTTTCTGGTCCAGCACGAGCCTTTCCGGTTCTTTTTTTCTTGTTATTAGTTTGAATTATAAAATGGGAACTTCTTGATTCGAGAAAAATTATTCCAATCCAGGGAAAAAAAGGATTAATCAGTTATATATTTTTAACCACTAGATTTTTTTAGTATTCGATCGATTTTTTTCTTGGAAAAACGTTTTGCTACTTTTTGTTGACCGAGTTCAGAAAAGAATAAAACCCATTTTTTTCAAATTCTTACCCCTTCCGTTTTCACTTTTTATATATCTTTCAGTGTTAAGAAAGCTAAGGGAATACTAAGGTTTTTCGCTTTTTTTTTTAAATATTGATTCGGAGCGATTCTTTAATTCTTATAATGTTTTGAAAATACTGTTTTAAGGTTCTTTTTGTTACCATCTTTTCAGTCGTCTCAATATAAAATTTTTTTTTTGGGTTGTGGGAATTTCACATGTTCATCTTTTTCATAAAACGCAATAGGTCGATGCCCTGTGTTTGAAAATATTATCATTGAATGAAATTTTTGACAGGCTCTTTTTTTGATATTTTATCGTGGTTTACTCTTTCTGGAAATCTTCAAAATAATAAATTTCCACTAATTTTTTTATTGAATTTCCTTATGAAAAATATCATTTTCTTCTGATTTCTTTTTTTTTCGTAATTTTTTTGAGCACTCAAGTCAATTCGATCCTGGTTTTTAATCATTATTAAAGGACCAAAAAAATGGGTTTTTGAAATAATAAAAAGGAAATAACGTGTAATTTGAAGTGACTCAAAAAGTTGCTATGTGTTTTTTTATATTCGAAGCCATACGGGAATGTGTTATAAAAATTTCAACTTTTTCATTTCCAAAAAAACAGTCGTAATATTTTTCCTGTTTCAATAGTTATATATTAATTCTATTACAGATTTTCGCATTTGATATCAATTCTCTTGATGAACCTAATAAATCATCATTATTATTATTAATCTTCCCTGTTTTAAAATCTTCTAGGATGGAATAATAAATGTTTTTCATCATGTTTTTCATGCCATGTTCAAACTATTTCTGCGAAATTCAAAAAAGCCGTCAGAGAAAGAAAAAGTTAAGTAGATTTTGGGGAGTAGAGCATTTCGCTGAAATCACTTTGAACACGGCGTTAGAAAAATAATTCTTTAATTTTTTTTTTTGAAAGATGAAATCTCAATTAGAAATTAATTTGACTTCCAAACAACATGAAAAAAATTAATTTTTCTAAAAGAATTTTTGAAGTTTTCCGAAAGGCTGTTATAAATTCAATGCATCGTGAGTTATTAGGATTTGAAAGATAATAATAATTTTATATAATCGATGGATTTCGTCTTCCACAAAAATTGGTTTTATAAGTCGTATAATTTGATATTTTCAGAGTTGAGCCGAAATGGGAAATCCCAGAAGTCACGCCAAACGGCTTACACACGGCTTCTTCTTGGACCGAACATCTTCCTTTATTAGCAGGTATTTTTTTAAATATTCAATTTCTCATCGGGGCAAAGTTGCTTCAAATAATTCACTATTTTTTTTTCAAATAGTTAACGTAACAAGAATCGTTTTTTTGCCCCCGGTTGACTTTTATGTAATTACATAGGCAAAGTCGGAAGGACCCTTAAGGGGCCCTTTGAGGATCAAAAGGTTCCCATTAGTTGTTCCTAACAAGGCAACGGTTTCTTTTTACGGCCTTTTTCCGTCTTTTCATCGGCCTTTATCCGCCCTTTTTGAAAAACCAACATTTTTTTCTTTACCAGTGACTGTGTATGAACCAAAATGTGTTACAGTAAAAAAAAATCGGAAATTTTCAATGGCCGAGACTTTCAGCACCTTTTTTGGGCCCTTTTTGCATCCTTTTTGCAGCCACTCCCTTTTTCCATCCGTTTTCCGCACTTCCGACTTTGGCAGTGTAGGCTGAATTTCACTTAAGAGCCTCCTAATTCCAGAAAATAAAAATATCTATAACTTCTTCTTGTTTTCGTGTTATGAAGCTTCAAATCTCTGAATTAATTTTTTCATTATTTGAATTCTAAAAAAATGCGGTCTCAACGTATTTTTATTATTTCTTGAGTTTATTTGATTAAACTTTTTTTCAATCATTTACATTCTAAATTTAACTGCCCTTGCTTGCAGGTCAAAAACTTGAGATCCTCAATTTTATTTTTTTCCAAAGACGTTAAGTTTTTCTTCTCATTGATTAGTGTTTCAACTCGAAATTGAATTTGTTTTTTTGTTTTTTTAGATATTTTTTTATCGGTATGATTGTTAATTTTTCAAAAAGATCTGGATTTCTAAAAAAATTATTTTTTTATTCTTCATTCGAATGAAAAAAATCTAAAAAGTTGCTCTTGTTGATAAAAAAATTTTGCATTTTTGAAAATTTTGATTTTTTTTTTCAAGGCAGGCTTCCCACGCAGCCGTTGAACTGATCCAAATTTTGAAAAAAACTGTTTTTTACATTCTTCTCATTAATCGTTCTATTGATGTTCTTTAATGTCTCTCTAACGGAAATTCCCCCTATTTTGAGTAGAACAGAAGGTTACAATGATTCCAATAGTGTTACGTCACGATTAATCAATAATCCGAGTGAGTTAATCCGCGCGGAAGTTGTAACCGGACACCCTTCGGCCCAAACTTGGGTACACTTACCTTGGCTCCCCCTACAGTACCATCCCTCGGGCCCCGCAAGACTATCTAGCGGCTGTTTGCTCTGAGAGGAGCAAAAAGGCAGATATGAAGAGCGACTGACAAATAAATACGATTTGTGTTGTAGCGCCCCCCTACGCGCCGCCGAGGAAATCTTTAGCCGAGGCTTTCGTCGGCTTTAGTCGACCTGATAACCGGGGATTGGAAGAAGGAGGGTCGTTTTAGTGGGTAGATTGGGGTTACCTGAAAAATTTGTTCACAGGGGGTCATTTAGGTTGGAGTGCGGGAAATTCCTGAAAATTGGCCAAGAGACACCTTGATGTAAAATAAATAGATTCTAACTTAGACGAATCGAGAGGGGACATAATTTGTCCAAAAAGGTACCTCTCAAAATGGATCCTGGAGACCCCAAAATGTTTACATCGTGAGACCTCCGGTATACCTTTTAGCTATATCTAAGCCATCTCGGAGGTACTTCGGAGTCTCTTTCAAGTCTATCTCATTTTAATCAAAGTCCTCAGAGACACATAGCCCGTTCACGGCTGGCTTGGGATAGGGCGGTTTATTTTTCGCGGCGAAGGTAGATCATGGCGAATATCCATGTGCCTTCAATAAAACCCCCATTTTATGACTTTTTTTTTCTCTTATAATCCGTCGATTTTGAGAAAATCTTCAAAGCAGTTAGATGAATGTATACAAAAAATAAGTTCAATAAAAACAGAAATAATTCATCAAATGAGGCTCTTATTAAAGGCGCATGTATGGCCGCTGTGATCTACCATCGCCGCGCAAGTTGAACCGCCCGTTCGCTGTCCCAATTTCAGACCCTGCGATCTACCTCAGAGGGTCTCGAGATGATCTTTCTCGATTCGCCTATGTTTAAGTCTCAACCTGTGAAACTTCCTAGCTTTCGAGAAATAAGGTTTCAAAGCTCAAAAAAACTGTATTTTCACGGATTTCGAGCTTTTTTCAACTTTGAAAGGTTCTTTCTCCAAAAATAGAAAGTTGTGCGTTTTGATCTTCATCTAGTACACCAAAAAGTGTTCTGGCCAATTTTTCGGAAACTCACAAGCACAAGGTAAAATGAACAAATAAAAGAAACGAATTGGCGGCTGACTTTTACGCACAAATGCGCGCTTTTGTACAAAAAGTTCCTTTTTTCCTTATTTTTCCACTAAAAAAAAGCTGCCATAAACATGCATTATGAAAAATTTTAAGATTAGATATTGATTTTTATCACCTAAAAGAATCTATTCAAAAAAAAATTTTTTGTAATTTTTTCAATACTTGCGATACTTTGACTTCTGTTTTTCAGGGTATCCATCAACCCAATCGTTCCCGTTTGACCAATGTGCGTACAACACGGCCTACGATCCGACGGCCTATTTCCCGTCGAGCAGCCTCGGCAGCTCGATGTACTCGTTGCCGCCGGCGGACCCGTTCCAGCGGACCGAGACGTCGTTGATCGGCGACTCCGCCGTCCTCGACGACGACAAGGACGATCTCCTTGATAAGAATGGGTATGTAGATCTGATGGAACAGAAAAATTTAGAAAATCTCAGTTACTTCTCTGATGAAGAAGCACTTGAAATAGGCTCTTTTTTTCTTTTTTGAGTTTTTTTTTCATTATCATTTCTTCAAAATAGTTACAGTTTTGATCAAAATTGGTCATTGGATAAAAAAAGTTAACACTGCTTCTATCAGGAATCTCACGAAAGTCTTATCCACATCACTTAAATTTTACTCCTATAGGGAGCATTTTTTTGACCACTTAAGACTCTGTTTTCTCCCCCTAACCCCTATAGAGATCACTCTGAAGCTCCTAAGTATGAACTGGATTTTTAAAAAAATTTTTTTTTTTTACTAGCGTGATGTCGTGTTCAAAGAAATTTCCTCGAAATGCAAAATAGTCTCTGACTCTCCATAATTCAGTTATCTTTTTCTTTCTCTGACGGCTTTTTTGAATTTTGCGGGATCACTTTGAACACCGCATAGAAGATTCCTATTAGACTTTTCAAAAGTTTTATAAAAGAAATAACTTTTTAAAGTTGCATTTTTTTCAATAAAGTACTTTTTTATTCTAGTTCAAAAGCGGAAGATGAAGACGAAGGGGCCGACGAAATGGAAGAAGATGGCGACGAGGAAGATGATGGCACGGGTTGGTTTGACTTGCACTTTTTACGGGCAAATTCTGATTTTTAAGAAATATATTAGGGTGGCAGGAAAGAAATGCGTGTTTTTGATGTAATTTAATTTTATCATAAAAACAAGGTTATCACAAATCAGTTCGAAATGTATTTTCTAACTGTATTAGCACCTTGTCAACAATGCTCACGCAGTGAATGGATACTCTCTCTGACATTGAAAGGTGCCAAGCTTCGGAATTTGATTTGTGCTTTTTGAAATAACGCGAAAACTAGGTCCGCGAGTACAGTTTTTGAAAGGAAGTTTTAGGAGCTATTTTTCTTATAGAAAGGCGGAATGAACGTCAGCAAACTATATATCCAATGACGCACAAGGACAAGCCCTTTTCGACAAAAAATACCGTTCCAAATAATATTGCTTCTTAGATGAATTAGAAGTCTACAAAAACAACCCTAATTTCTTTCATGCCAACCTAATATTGATAATTCCTGATAGCTCAAGATAAGATAGCACTTTCCCAACCATTTTTACATTATTTGTCAAGAAGAGCTGCCGACTGGGCGCCCCGGGGTGACCCGCGATTTGAAGGAGGTGCCCCGGGACGACCCGAAAAAGTTTGAAACCAGAATAAATTGAGAAAAAAGTGAAAAAACAAACTATAAATGACACTTTTATCAATGTGATTATATCCGGACCGCCCCAGGGCGCGATTCGGTCGTCTTGGGCCGACCCGTTCGGTCAGCAGCTTTGCTGACAATTAAGACCATCTTCACAGATTCGACAAGCTCTTGGGAGAATAATATAACTTTCCAGGAAAGAGAAAGAAGCGAAAACGGAGAGTTCTCTTCACCAAAGCACAAACCTACGAGTTGGAGAGAAGATTCCGGATTCAAAGATATCTAAGTGCGCCGGAACGAGAACAACTCGCCATGCAGATCGGTCTCACGCCGACTCAAGTCAAAATTTGGTTCCAAAATCATCGGTCAGTTCTTTAGAGGGACTTGAAGACACTTCATTTTCTCATTCTAATGAGGAGGGATTCAAGCGGGTTCACCCATGTTAAACCCGTATACGCCCAGCTGGTAGAATTTTTGAAAACTCTTTCATACCGCTGAGGACCGCTTTAGCAATGCTGAGTCCGGGTTTTCGAAAAAAACACAGCTGGGTCACCTATTTCTTACAGCGCCCGTTTTTCTCCCGTTTTAGCACAACCGAGACTCAAATCGCCCAAAAAACGGGTTCAATATGGGTACATCCGCTGAAACATCCGGTCAACATGAGATAATGGTTTTTGCAAATTCAAACTATCAACATTTCTAGACGATTCTTAAAAGTATAGATCGAAACCGGAATTCAAATTTTTCTCAAATTTTCAACTGATGGACACAATACAGTCGCATTTGGAAAGGCTGAACGCGGCGCGCCTGATTTGAAAAAACTTGCGTTTCGTACCGAAAAGCGAAATTTGTCGGAAAAATAAATTTTTTGAAAATAAGTCCGGCTATAGACTTTAATCTAACCGCAACGTGACCACGACGCTTCGAGCCATTCCAAGTGCGACACGGTGTTCCAAATCGGAGCGAATTATTCGTAAACTGAAATTGTTCACAAGCAAGATCAGAACTTAATTTACTAAAAAGAGCGAAAAAAGGCAGATAAACCCGCAATAAATAAAGAATTATTTAATAAACATAAGAATCCGATTATTGCAACATTTCTTTTTTTTAAAGAATCGTATTTGAAAATTGTTAAAAACAGTAATGTTGGTGAGTCAAATCATTTTTTATGATTCCAAAATCTTTCGATCGAAAATTATTCAACTTTAAAGTTAAGGTTTAAAATAAAGAATATGTCAAAAGGTTCAGAGAGATTTTCAATTGATAGCACTTTCAGAAATTAAAAAGGAGCTCTCACATGTCCGTTATTATTCTTATTATAACGAAACTCATAAAATTTTTCACTTCCACCGTTTGTAAGACAAAAAATCAGAAGACTTGTGGGAAGTTTCCGCCAGAATACTTCACAAATTCATGATTATGCAATAATATGTAAACGATTCCGGCTTAAACTTCCAAATATGATTCCTTGAGAAAAGAGAAAAAACTTTCGACTTTCAAAAAAAACTTGAAAAATTCATTCATCATTTCTAGGTACAAAACAAAGAAGAGTAACCAGGAGAAGGTCCCTTTGAACAACTCGATTCTAGTCCCCAACGCCTTTTCCACGACTTCCGCATCCACGGCCTTCTCAGCGAGACCGTTCGTTTTTTTCTTTTTCTTTTTAATATTTTTCCTAATTTTTCGAAAAATTTGACCTAGGAGGGTAGTCCATCCAGTGTGTAGTCGAGAAATTCCTGAAAATTCATTCAAACCTGAAAGTCTAGGAAAAGATCCCTCATAGTCTTGACTTTTATTTTCAAAGTTAAGGGGTTTTAAAGATGTAAAATATAGTTTACAGGCCTAATTCTTTGTAAAATGTGAACTTGAGAAATTTTATAACTGAACAATTATAACTGTTCAAACCCTAATAATCAGAGAAAGCTTCTAAATAATGAAAAACTGGCCGAAAATTGGGAACATGACGGAAAATTAACCGATGCTCCGGACTTTTCAGAACATGTCTAGTGACCACTTTAGTAGCGTCAGACTCTTAAGGGATCTCTTGAATCTTAAAAATTAGAGTTTTCGTGGTGGGTGCCACGCATTGAAATTTTACCAAACGACATTCCGCTGTACGGCTGCGTGCGGTCGCGACGCGTGTCTGCCTTAATCCCGGTCGAGCTTTCAAGTGATTTTTATTTCTCGTAAATGGACTGTTCCATTGGAAACACCTACAAACTTAGTACTGTAATAAAAGAAAAAATTGAAAGGGCGACCGATATTCGCAAAGGCAAAGACGCTACGCGACCGCACGCAGCGGAACAGCGAAATGTCGTTCGGGGAAATTTCAAATCGTGGCACACAGGAACCGCCAAACCTTTCCAAACCAAATGACCACCCCTGTTAAAAGTGCACTTTCCAGATTCCGCATGCCGATCCAGATGTTGGTTCGGGACGGGAAGGCGTGTCCGGCAGATCTGACGTCATCGTCCTACCAAGCGGCGGCGGCTGCGGTTGCCTTCGGCGGCTCCGGCGGCAGTTATCTTCCCGCCTCTGCCGGTTATCTGCAACCGACCACTGGCTACTTGCCCAACGCCCCGCCCACCACCTCCTATATGCCCAATTCTTGGTGGTAGCCATTGTAAATATGAAGAGAAAATGCGCTCGAATGAAAGAGGAAAATGATTTTTTTTTAAATTCGAAACGAAGTTCACTGTTTCGAAGCGACATTGAATTGTTTTTGGCGTTTTGAAGCATGTTATCTTCTACACGACATTTATCAGAATAATTAGTCACTAGAGGCAAATTAAAACTCTGTGAAACTGAAAAGTGGATGAAAATCTCCAACCTTTCAAAAGCTTCGTTGAAACTTTTAAAGGAGCACAGCAAAATTCTATAAAGGTCTCAAGGCGATTAGCTGCTATTTAGTAATACTACTAAAAATATTTTTTTGCGCTATGAGAATTTTTTTGGAAGTACAATATTCAGCTCAAAATTTCAATTTTTTTCGTTTTTTTTTCTGATGTTCAATAACCAAATCCACAAGTTTGAGCGCATTTTCCCCTTTTCCATAGGTTCAAATCAAGGTCGACAAAAAAATTCCATATTTATTGGGAATCTCAGAATATTTCTCATAATCTAGGACGAATTTCCTTTTTCCATAGGCCCTGTGAGCCTTCCGCAAATGTGCTTTAATCCCTCGATTTGCTCAATTTTTCCTTTTCTTTTTTTCTCTATATTGTATAAACTAACCGGTAAAGTGTTTGAGATGATAAATTCCATGACTTTTTCCATGGAAAATGGTGTTTTTTGTTGTTTTTCGTTTCGTTTGACTGGTGGATGAAAGAGGGAGAAAATAAAGTTTTTATTTTATTTTCTGTGGAGTCATTGCCTTTTTTTAAGGCGGATGAAGTTTTTTTCAATTTTATTGAGCTTTTTGAGAGACGATGGAGTTTTTCAAAGTTTTCGGAATGGAAGTCAAAAAAGAAACTATTTTTGAATCAATATCTTGCGATTTTATTTGAAAATGAATGATATAAATATTCAAATATTCAAATTGAATCTAATACGTAATGGAAATTATTTCTTTGATAATTATATATGTTTCTCTTGAAACAGTGTTTTCAATTTTCCTTTTCGTTTTATTTTTCCTCGGTATTTTTTCGATTTTTTTTATTAACGGGTAAATTTAATTATTTTTGAAGTTTTGAGAAAAATTACTTTTTTTGACAGCTTTATGTTATTTTAATTGAGCCTGGAAATCACTGAACATTATTATCAAAATGACGCGTTAAAAGTAGACAAGAGCAATTCTTATCACTAGAAATCATAATTTTTGATAAAATTGACTTTTAATGATTTGTTTGTACCCGAAAAACCCTTTTTTTTAACTCTTTTTTTCGGGTTTTTGAGAGCCCTCGAAAACTTCCCAGGAAAAGCCGTCTTCATTATTCAAACTTTCAGCTTCTCCGTTTCGTCGAGAATTTCTGATTTTTCCTTTTTTGTCTTTCCGGCAACTTTCAGGTTTTTCGGATGCCTTGTGAAAGTTGCTTTTCGTTGTGAATACATTAAGAAAGCGTTTTAAATATAACTGGGAGTTTCAGAAGTTACTTATTCCGTGTTAATAGGGGCAGTAAAAAACGGTGTTTCAGTTCAAAGCAGTATTTTGTAGAGTTTCTCATTGTGAATCGAACGGTGAACTTGGAAACCTACCGAACTTCCTAAATTTGGTGAAAAAACAGAACAAAGTCAGAGAAAAGAAAGCTTGAGTTCCCGCCAAAAAGGCGTTCTGCAGTAAAGTTGCTCTATGGACAACAGTCTTTCCAATTTTTCGGATTTTCACTTTTCTCTTCGTTTTTTTTTACATTTCAATATTTTTTGTTGTCACTAAAGTCAAGTATTCAGAAAAAGCTTTTGAATTTAATAATTTTAATCTTTCGTTTTAGTCTCATCATCTTTTCAGTGTATTTTTGAAGCGCTGGCGCTTGTCATAAAAATATAATTTTGATTATTTTTAAATCTATATTTGAAGGCTTTATTAAAAAAAGGTAAATAGTCTATCGTGAATTACAAATTTTAGCTATTATTTTTTTGATGAGGAGGATGAATTTCCGTTTTAAACATTTTTTTCAAAGTTTTTGCTTTTTTTCGGTTCATATTGAATCGTAAATTATTAAAAAAATGTATAATTTGAATTTTTTTCAAAGTTTACACATATTATAGAGTATTCTTCATAATTATTTTCAGACTTTTTTTCTTGAAACTCCACTGATCTTTTGAATTCCTAACTATCCAGCGGTGACTCGAGTATGCGAATAAATTAATAAAAAACGAGCAGAAGGACGGAAAACATTCCAAAAATACCGAGGAACGTTTACTCGACTTGCAAATGCTCTCAGAAAGTGACGCCACTCATAGAAACGAGGCCCTTTTTAGGCCGACGGGAAAGCTTCTTCCTTCGGCTTTTCGTCGTCGCTTTGATGTCATTTCCCGTATCCGCGTGTGTAGCCTTTTCTTCCCTTTTTCGCAAATTCTTTGCTCCGAAATCTGAAAATAGTTGAGCCGTGATTTATGTGGGTGAATTAGTGTTTGAACGAGCTTTTCCCAACGATTATTGTGTGAGACAAAAAATTGATGGCTCTTTTGAGCTATTTTACAGATTCGAATAGCTTGCAGCATTGGTCAAAGTCGATTTTAACTCGGACAAAGTCGGGATGGTGGATAATGGCCGCTGAAAGAAAAAGGCTCCAAGAAGGCCGCAGAAAGGCAGCAAAGAGAGTTCCTTTATCGAGCCTTTCATTTTTTCTGAAGTTTAAAGGATCAAGAAATTGTGGAAAAGGAAGAGGCAGCAAAAATGGTGCACAATATCCGATTAAACGGCGAAAAAAGAAAAAAAAAAGAGCCTTTTTTGCCCTAAAAAAATTTCTATGAAGCCTTTTCCACCCTTTCCGATTCGTCTATGTAATGCAAAAATTTATGGGGAATTATTGACCCGAAGAAATCATAAGATCGAGAAAATATGTTTCTAAATAATCATAGCGTTATTGAAGGCGCAGGAGATTCGAAAAATAACACCGAAAACGGCTTTTCGCCACAAGACCTTCAGAGAACTAGTGCTTTAAAAAAAACCCCCTAAAAGGAATTTTTTTTCGAAAAGTCTTCCGATCATGTAAGCCTTGGAAGCTAAACTATTTTTTTCCATGGTTTTTCAAAAACTTATTTCACGATAAGATATTTTCAAAGAGAAGATCGAACATTTTCTGAATGAAAAAAATACTACAAAAAAAGGAGAATAAATTAAAAAAACCTCAATTCAATTACAAAACGTATTATTTCAAGTTTTTTTCTGCCCGCTATCGTTCCATGAGGTGCCACGAAATTAACTACTTTTTTTTGCAAATATATGTGAAAAATTTTGTTACTTCCATATCATGATATTTGCTGTTTCCAAAGTCAAATAATTAGATTTCGTTATGAACAAAAAATCATTACGTCCCAGAAATCTCCATTATTTCTTGCAATTTACACAAGCCTCTTTGGGTTTGAATTGAAGTCAATCAATCTTGTAATATAACTTGCATTCTTGAAAACTAAAAAAAAATCATTATTGACAATTTAAAACGTCTAACGTAAAGTTAATGAGAATAGATTAATTTGAGAAAGGTCCCGAAGCGATTTTTTTAGGGTTATTCCAGGTCATACAAGGCTTCAGTGCCTCAAAAATCATAGCGATGATAGCGATGATTTTTGATTTTATTATTTATCAGTTTTGTTTCCTTTTTTATTCTCTCTGTTTCAAATCACAACTTATTGTTTGATATAAGTTTGCGAAAATATTTCTAATTTCCTTTATCCGAAAGATCACCCTGCTCTCAGTTTAACGGAGAGAGAAGATTGACGTTCCGCATCACTTCAAAAAAAAATTAGGTTTAAACTCGTCCAAAGCCGTTCTTTGACCTCGAGTTTTCCAGTTTCTAGTTTGACGGAAAGCCGGGAAAATAATTGTTTGAAGCTGATCTTTGCCTTATTTCAAGTTATTTTTTCCCTAACTGTTTTATTGAACTCCAGAGTGGTCCCTCTAAGGTTGCCCCTTTAGGGACCTCTCTGGAGTACTTCAGAATACCCTTTTTTTGGGTAATTTTAATCAATAGGCCACTTTCCAGTTTCTAAGTCGACCCATAAGCGGAATTAAGAAATTTACGCGATCTGGCGACAGAATACCCAAATATAAAGTTCAAAATTCGAAAAAAGAGCCACTAAAAATCCTTAAAAGTCCGGATTTTCCATTCGTTTCAAATAATGCTCACAAATTCTAATGGTTTTTCAATCATAATTTTTTTCATTGTAAATGCTACCAAAATTTATTTTTCTTGGTGGGTCGAAAAAGAAAAATTCAACGACCTTAACTTGGGTCATAAATTTGATTTCGAAAATTAATTTTTTGCCGCTTTTCAGTCGAACTTTAGGTCTATAGAACTGGTAAAAAAATTGAAAAAGTTTTTTGCTTCAGCCATGACAGAAGACCTCAAGATTGACTTTTAAAACTCTCAATATCGCACTGCAAATGGCTCAATGCTTCAATAACGCGCCTGACCCAAAACGACTTGCGCACTTAGGCATCAAAAAGCATTGAGCAGACCTAATACTCAAATCCAAACGCTCTATTTGAAAATACAGCTACGAAAAAAGTTTATTCATGAAAATAAATGAATAATCAATGTCAATATTGAATATAATCATGCTTCTTTTCAAAAACCCGTCCTTCAATAATTATTTAGAGGCTACTGTTAACAAAAGTTGTAAGAAACGCCTTATCATTGCAAGTTGAGTCTCTCCAAGAAAATGTCTCGATGGAAACAGTAAAGTCGGAGTTCGCCGACAGCTGAGCTCGTTTGCAAAAAACTCGTACGAGATTGACGGGACGCGTGTTTCACAGCCGTCGCAGGAAAAAGTGCCTTCCTCCATCTTTTTCGTCCAAAAATGGAAGACGCAGGTGGGTTCCAGACGGCGGGTCTCGGCACGAAGTCACTCCTTGTCCTAAAAAAGAGGAGGGAAGGAGGCAGCGAAATGAAATGGAACGACGACGCAATCGAGAGCGCTCCTCTGGACTCGCGACGTCATTTTTCGCCTCTCTCTT